CCAGGAGGAGAGGCCTCATCAGAAACCATCCCTGATGGCACCTTCATCTTGGACTTTTAGCCTCCAGCACTGTGAGAAAGTACATCTCCACTGTTTAAGCCGCCTGGACTGTGGTCTTTTGTTATGGCAGCCTGAGTAGACAATGACGGTATCTCAGTCTGTGACTGTGAGCATGTGAGGGTGGGCATTCTTTTGCTGTGTCACCTGTACGTCCTGCCAAAGTCAGGAGGAAGCAGAAGGAACCAGAGACATAGGGTAAGAAATAAGGGACAGGCACTTTCTTTTGATCATGATCATACAAATTTGTTGAATGCTTCTTGTGCCCAGACACTAAACTGCGTACATTAGGCAATATAAAATGCTAACAAACACAGCTTATTTCTATATATCCCTTATTCTTATATACCATGTGTCAGGTATTCTATGTGCTTTACGAGTATTAACTTGTAAATTTAATGCCTACGGTAACCCTAAGAATAAGCATTTTTACCATCTCAACTTTATAGATGAGGAAACTAAGGCTCAGAGAGATTAAGCAAAACCTCAGAGAGGTTAAGCAATTTGCTTAAGTTAAGTAGAAGTTAAGCAAGTAGAAAGTAGGGTGTATTTAGTCTCAAATGAATGGAATGATCTAGTGTTTTCTCAAAGCGGAGTGTGTACACCCCAGGAGGTACGTACATAAGATAATCCACTAAGGTGCAGGAAGAAAAAATTGGAACTTTAATTTATATTTATATTAGTGGCTTATTGAATAGTCCAAACTTTCAGTATAAGCTCTTTATCAAGAAAGAAAATCAATGATGGGATAGTCAGATCCGATGGGACACAGTCAGAAAACATGCAGTTATCAAGTTCACTAGATGAAATATGATTGACATCTGCAGGCATTAGCTAAGATCTCCAGTGAGGATGTCTGCTGGAGCGGAGTTCCGTCACTGACATCTGCTGCTGCTAACGACAGGGGATGTCCACCGACTCTCCCGAGGGGTGGGAGTGCGTAGGGGCTGTGCCTCCCTGCTCTCTGGGCGCTGGGCTCGAGGCCGAGCATGCCCCTGGCAAGAGTCCCTGCTCTTGAGGAGCTTACGTTCCAGTTGGGAAGGACTGATGATAAATAAAGTGGACAAAGGAAATATATAGCGTGTTAGGGGGTCATCTATGCTAAGGAGAAAAATAAAGCAGGGAAAGGGGTGTTAAGAATTGGGGCACGAGTCTTCAGTTTTTAGGTAGGATAGCCAGGCCAGGCTCCGTGAGAAGGAGCCGTCTGAGTAACTACCTGGGGGAAGTGAGCAAATGAATCAAGTGGCCATGTGGGGGAGGAAGATTCAACATGCACACACACATGCACTGCACACACACACGTGCACACACACACACAGACACACAGAGCAAGTGCTACTACGCCCCTAAGATGGGATGTGCCTGGGAGGTTGAGGAGCGAGGAGGTCGTGTGACTGGAGCCCAGTGGCGGGGGAGGGGGGCGGTGATAGCGGATGAAGAGGAGAGACGATTGGGGTGCAGGTGCGTTGGCAGGTCCCTTTAGCCACACAAGGACTTTGTACTGTGAGTGAGATGGAACACCACTGGGGGGTGTGAGCTGTTATATAGCCGAGATTCATAGGGCCACGGGACAGAGAGACAGAGTCACCTAGGCTGTAATGATCAAAAGGAGTTTTATTGTCTAGCTCGAGCTAGTGTCCGAGCCCCCAGAGTGCCAGTGCAGTGGCCTCTTCTTCGGGCAGGGACCCCCCTTTGTGTGCTAGTGACCCTTTTATACCTAAGCTGTTTACATACTGATCATGCATCTGCCCCCACAGTGATTGTTACTTCATCCTGCCCCTGATAGGCTCTAACCTGTTCCGGGTCCTGGCTGAGAGACTCCGGTTTCCACGTTCTTTGTCTTTCTCCTCTGCATCCCATAATGTACTCATAATGCCTTGCGGTTAGCAAACAAGCAGTAAACAGAAGCTGGAAGGTGTCCATTGTCCTAATAGCCCAGTATCTTACAGAGCAAAGAGGTGACATGATCCGGTTCATGTTTCCAGAGGATCGTTAAGACTGCTGTGTTGGAAAGACATTGTAGGGAAGTAAGGGCAGAAGCCAGGAGACCAATTGGAAGGCCTAGAGCAATTTTCCAGATATAAGAGTGATTCCACTGGCCTTCAAAGTGCTTGCTATAGGATAAAAATAAATGTTTCTGATGACATTGCTGAATTTTGAAAATCTTTGTCTCTATTTTATAAAGTAGTAAGGTTCTCCTGCTGAATGCCATTAAATTAATTCTCCATTCACCGGATAATCGTGTGGTCTTGCCAGAACACATCCTGCACAGTCCTGCTTAGCACTCCAGTGCCCCAGGCGTCAACAGTATGGCGGAAATGCCCTTTTCCTTGTCTGTGTTTGTAAGACAGTGTCTTTCATGCCAGAAGAACTATTTTGGGAGGATGATTCATGTCACATTTTGGCCTCATTACGGTTTTAAGTTGTAAACGATGCCGGTTTGCCTGGAGGTATAAACATAAATTTTGTCTTCGTATTCATATGGGAATACCTGTAACTGAAAAAGTACTTTCTATTCTTGAGTTACAGTCTAGGCTATAAACAAAGAGATTAACCAGATCTTTATCAAAATTCTATTTTTATTTATGAAAAGCATGCTTTTAAAAGAATACCAATTGCTTGTGGCTCTGCCTCCATTCTCCATTTCCAAACACAGATGGAAAGTGGAAGAACCTAATGTCTTATTGTTACAAGCAGATGATTTTGTGAAATAAACACTGCACTTTCTCTTTTGAAATAGTGTGAAAAGTGAGAGCAGGTGTTAAATTACTGTCTTGCTGTCTGTCGTTAAAAAGTAACAGGAGGTACAAGATTATTCAAAGTTTATTCAGACGGGGGTGTTAAAGTAAGGTGAAGCCATTCTAATTATTCTGGTTTGCTTTCTGGTAAATACAGTACTATTCGAAGGATATGGCAAAACTCTTTTATTTATTCAGTGGTTAAAAATGCTTGATGGTGTGGGGGCCAAGGGAAACTTCTTCACCCTCTGAAGGGTTGTTGAGAATAAGCTCACAAAAGACAGATTAAAAGTGGAGAAAGCATAGAAATTTATCTAATGCGTGGGTGGGGAGAATCCCAGAGTAACTGTCCACCCCCCTAAAGGGGATTTGGAAGCTTGTACACTATCTTGGCAAAACAGGTTATAGGAGGTGGGAGAAGAAAGATTCTGTTAGGGGGGTAATAAAGAATTTCCAGGAGAATGAATAGATTGGGAACAGAGATTAACTTGTGAGTAGTTCTCTTTGACAGTGAAAGATCTGTTCTTGGTCTTATAGAGAAGGGAAGGAAAAACAGTTGCTCTCTTTTGTGGGTCTGGATCTTAGGCAATTAAAGGAACTTCAGCTTCTTTGGGTGGTAGAGGGGGAAAGTCAGAGAGACCTGGAGGCTTCTTCAGTTCAGGATGTTAAAGCTCCATATTTTGAGGTATCAGTTTCTGAGCCCCAACATTGGCAATAGAAATGAGAAACACTTAACATTTGACTTTGTAATCATGCCTTGCACGTGACAATGCCTTGAAACTGTTTATTGATTTGTCCCCAGTAACTTAGTTCCAATAGGAAAAAAGTTGGGGTTCCAACATGGCTAGATATTTCTATGACTCTCAAAGAATTCCATATCCTATCTTAAAATTTTAAAACTGGCAAAAGATTATTTATTTTAGAAATTTAAATTATTGTCTTAGTCCATTTGTGTTGCTATAAAGGAACACCTGAGGCTGGGTAATTTATAAAGAAAAGAGGCTCGTTTGGTTCACAGTTCTGCAGCCTGTACAAGAGGCATAGAGTCAGCATCTGCTTCTCTAGAGTGATTTAGGAAGGTTCCACTCATGGTGGAAGGGGAAGGGGAGCTGGCATCACATGGTGAGAGAGGAAGGAAGAGAGAGAGGGGAGGTGTCAGGCTCTTTTTAGCAATCAGTTCTCTTAGGAACTAATAGAGTGAGAATTCATTCATTGCCCGGAGGACCAAGCACCAGGCCATTCATGAAGGATTCACCCTCATAACCAAAACACCTTCTACTAGGCCCCACCCCCAACACTGGGGATCAAATTTCAACATGAGGGGACAAATATCCAAACATATCAATTACAGATGTGAAAATAGGAATATAGCAAAAAATTAAAGGAATGCTAATGAATTTGTTGTTTGGTATAATCCCATTTTGATGGCAAATTTTGGGGGGCACAATGACAACCTTTCTGATCCACTGACAGTAAGACATACTCACCTCCCTTCCCCACCCCCCCTACCTTGGACACATGCTTAAAAAGATTATTTTCTGGTCCATCTGTGGTTGGTGCTTTCCATTTGGGCCTTCTGACCCAAAGGAGATTTATTCATCTTTAAGTAAGATTCCTCAATGAACAATAAACCAAATGCATTGTAAGAGCTTATTTGATTCTAAAGTGATGGTTTAAAAAATATTAGCAATTTGAGGGCACTTAAGCAGCTTTGCAAATTCAGCTGCATCCAGCCTCCAGCCTCATGGCAAAATCTGGCCTTGAAATCCCTCATCCTGCTAGAATCTTCCAGCTATGACAAGTGACATCCACTTTTTTCTTTTTCTTATTTTGAGACTTTTTTCCTCCCTACTTTCTCTTGGTTATTCAATGACTGCCTCATTAACTAGCCTGGGTCTCTACTTTTAGAAATTTGAATGCAGTGGTTCTGGCGGTGAAGGCTGAATGCTTACATTAAAAAACAAAACAAAAGCAACTAAAAGGCTCTCCAGATAATTCTTATGCTCTAAGAGGACAACAGGTTACAGTTCAATAAAGGGCAAGGTTTGAAACCCAGATGTCAACAGAGACACAAATCTCTGAAGGTCCCCATTTTTAGAAGCTAACTGGATTTAATCATATCTATGGTATGACAGTGACATTCGACAAACCTAACCCTTCAATGAAATGTTGCTGTATTTCACATTTCCCCTTCTGTCTTCTCAGCGATCATGTATGTCATGGGAGCACTTGGCCCTGCAGTGGGATATTTATTAGGTGGACTTCTTATTGGCTTTTATGTTGATCCGAGAAACCCTGTTCACCTTGACCAGAACGACCCCCGTTTCATTGGAAACTGGTAAGAATTCTTTCTTAATGTTTTCATTTTACTTAATGATGGCTAGAATCATCCCACTCTTGTAGTTATAATAAAATGTCCCTAATAGGGAGATGCAAAACAGCTGAAAGACACCTGGGGGGTGGTGGTGGTGGTAGGCAGAATAGTAACCCCCACAAAGACAGCCATGTCCTAACCCCCAGAACCTATGAATATGTTACCTTACACAGCAAAAGGGACTTTGCAGATTTGATTAAGTGTGTTGATATTACTTTAGATGACCTGGGCGGGCCCTGTGTCAAAGGGAAGGTGGAGGCAGGAGAGCCAGGCAGAGAAGGAGATATGATGAGTCAAGCAGAGGATGGAGTGACGTGCTTTGAAGGTGGAGGAAGGGGCCAAAGCCTGCGGGAGGACTAGCCCCTGGAAAAGCCAGGAGATGGGGTCTGGGTCACCCCCAGAAGGAGTGTAGCCATTCCCGCCCGTTTTTCCTCTCCTGACCTCCAGGACTATAGCATTGATCAATTTGTGTTGTTTAAAGCCGCTAAGTGTGCAGTAACCTGTTATAGCAGCGGCAGGAAACTAATACAGGAGTTTGTTGACGGTGGCTCCATCTCTGTCCTCCAAGATTGGAATGTGTCCTTCATGGCAGTGTGAAGGACGTGGACTGCTGTGGCTACGTGGGGACATCCCTGTTTACTTTAGTCATACCTTGCAGTATCTTTTCTGTGCCTTTTAAAAAATACATTGTGCCCACTTTCTTGTTATACCATATTTGTATTTCTGCTTAACAACCCTCTCCCACTGCCCAGAACTCTAGCACTGCCATTCCATTGTCCCGCTCTTACCCAGTCTTTTTTCATGCTAATATTATATTTTATTTCTCCACATGTCCCAGCTAGAGATTTAGCTGCATTCTCACTTGCTCGCCCTTAATTGGCCTAATGCTTAGGACTCAGAATGAGAACTTCAACTTTGGATAGCACGTTATGTATCCACATAATCAGGACTGTGTTTGAGTTTTTTGCAGTCCTCAACTTGAACATGAGAAGTTATTTCTTGGCTGGGCGTGGTGGCTCATGCCTGTAATCCTAGCACTCTGGGAGGCCGAGGTGGGAGGATTGCCTGAGCTCAGGAGTTCGAGACCAGCCTGAGCAAGAGCGGAGAACCCATCTCTGCTAAAAAGAGAAAGAAATTAGCTGAACAACTAAAAATATATAGAAAAAATTAGCTGAGCATGGTGGTGCATGCCTGCAGTTCCAGCTACTTGGGAGGCTGAGGCAGGAGGATTGCTTGAGCCCAGGAGTTTGAGGTTGCTGTGAGCTAGGCTGATGCCACGGCACTCTAGCTGGGGCAACAAACAGAGTGAGACTCTGTTTCAAAAGAAAAAAAAAAAGTTATTTCTTTATGATTGCAAACATTAGCTGAAAACATTGGTGTCCTGAATTCATTACATATGAATTGGAAATAGATACACATTGATAAGAAATTTTCATGTCATAACAAAGAGACTATTTCAGTATTAGCGATTATATATATCAAGTAATTACTTTCTAAAGAGTTTCTTTGAGAACTTTATTCTCTCTGTTTCATTATAGGATAATAACCTCGTAACTCCGAGGCTGGTAGGAATACTGTTTAACATTATTTTCAGAGCAGATAACAATATTAATTGTTATATGACACTTCTTATTTTTGTATATAATGCTCTTTGAAGCTTGAAGTACTAAGCTGGGTCAAATTTTCAAATCATGTAAAAAGGAGTTCCCCTGTCAGAGTTAGGGGAATAACATAGGAGTTTTAAATTCTTGACTCATAATGAAATTTTTGGTCTCAGCTGTTTTCTTCCCAGTTCTGAAATAAATCAGAGTAAAGGTTGTTTTTTTTCCATTGTCAGAAAACTAGATTATTAAAATACAGGGTATCCCAAAACTCTCCATACAAAGGAAAAATGTTGTAAAATTTCATAAGGAATATTTTTTAAATAAAGGTACATTTAGCTACAACCTCCCATTTTCCCTATGTATGGCGACTTTTGGGATACCCTGTGTATTTGTGAACACCCACTGTGTATCTTGTGTTCTATACAGGTGTCCATGAGAAGAACATGGTGGTAATGGAATATCTAAAGAAAGATGGACATGCTGGAAACTCAGACTTGTGGGGGGGGAAGGGCATTTATTGAAACCTTAAAATCTGTACCTCCATAATATGCCGAAATAAAAAAAATAAAAAAAAAAAAAGAAATATAACGAACCCAGGGGCAGGGAGAAGGAAGGAGGGCAGGAACTTCAGTCTCACAAATGCTTTATGCTGTCTTTTGAAAGTTTTCTGGGAGACATTAATCTAGTTGGCAGCAAAATGGAGAGGTTAGAAGCGTAGACCCTGAAGCCATGTTCACCTGGGTTTAAATCCTAGTCTGCCACCTAATAGCTATATGACCTTGGGGAAGTTATTCTGTGCCTCCGTTTTTTTTTTTCCCCTTTTAAATCCATAAAAGAAGATAGTTACAGTATCTATTTCATAGGGTTGTTGTGAGGAATGAGTGAGTTTATACAGGCAGAGCTCTATGTATAGAATTCCTGTTACACAGTGTGTGCTAGCTATTCAGTCCTTGAATTTAATCAGTGTTCAAATAATTTTATCCATTTTAATGAGTCAATGTTAGTTGTATAAATGATAAAGAGTGTCGGTATAGACATATATAATAAGGGTCTATTTAAACATATTATTGCGTCATCCTGTTTGTAACAGATTTCTACCTTGAAGAAAGACATAGTTATTTGTTTTACCGTATTTCATACAATGTCTAGCAGCAATGATAGATTTTTCAGTGACTATTTGCTGAAAGAGAGAAGGAAGGAAGGAAGGAATAATGCTGGTATTTACTGGATGCTTACCACGTGTCGAGCATTATTCTAAGCTTTACAAACATTCTCATTTAATCCTTGTAACAACCATGTAGTTGCTAATATTAAGCCCATTTTGCAGATAAGGAAGTTGATGCTCAGGGAGTTGAATAACTTGCCCAAAGCCTCTGGGTCAGTGAGAGCTGGAATAGGAAACTGGCTCCAGGGTGGAGCTCTTAATCCATCACTTAACTGGCCCCCTTGGTGAATGGTCTGTGAGTAATGGTTCATGAAAGGGATTTGGGAACCCTGCTTTTTCAAGTTCAGCTATTACCGATGTGTGTTTTTCCAATACATAATGCACACTTTGTTGTTTTAGCTTTCTTCAGGGTCCTTTTTAGCAGTGTCAATTTATCATGTGTTACACCAACGTTACTGGAGGCTTTTGAAGAATGTGGTCTGGTTTGGAAATGACCCCACACTTTTATATTATTTTTGTATTAATATTATTTTTGTTTATTTGTGCTGTAATTCTTCCCCTTCTTCTGTTATGCACTCTCACTTTGGGCTATTACGAGCATATCTTTAATGTTTGCATAGAATTTTAAGTCAATGGCTGGGGGAGGGGTGGTCAGCGAGGCTGAGTGCAGATCTACCTAAAAACCAAACCAACCAACCAAACAAAACTAGCTACCATGAATTGATTGCTGATTCGGGGGGTAGACATTTTATTAGGTCCATTATAACATTGTCTTATTAAATTTTCAGTGACCTTCCAATACACTTGTTATTACTCCCTATTCATATGAGAAGGCTGCTTTGGAAAAGCAAAATAAATTTCACCAGGATCTCATAGTTAGCCAGGGGTAAAGACAGAACACAAACCCAAGTCTATCTGAAACCGCAGCTCATGAACTGCCCCATGCACGACACTGCCTGCTCTCTCCTGGGGAGATCCTGAAAGGCCTAGGGTAATTGAAGGCATTTGGGGGCCTTGGATGTAGAGTTTGTGCAGGGAGATTCCAGAGAGGTAAATCTGCAGCCAAGCACTAAAGGGGCCAGACATTATAATAGCTATGTTCGCTGCAGACAGATGACTTATTTTTTTTTTTCAACCTATCTCTTTCAATTTATTTATTCAGCAAATTTTTTGAATACCTAATCTGTGTCAGGCAGTGAGCTGGTGATTATATTCTGAATAATTGAGATTGCTGGAAGTCTGCCCTGAGCAATCTTCTCAAAATAAAGCCTAATTTTGATTACCTTAAAATGATCTGATAGGACTTTAACTATCTTTGAAAATAGCACACTGGATTTATTAATGACTGGTTGTAGGAATCATTCTCTCAACTCAACTGTGACCTTTAGCAGCTGATAACAGCACTTTAATAGAAACATTCCTTTTTAAAAATGAATTTTCTCTTTGCAATCGATCTGTATTCATACTAGATCGAATTCAGCATTAATGCTTAGAATGCTGCTTGCATTCTGGTTACAACTGATGGGGACATATTGAGTATTTATGAACTTGGAAGCTTTAAGAGTAGAGTTTTGGAGTTGTGGCTACCCTGTCGGGTAGGACCAGGGACCTCTGTTTGCTAGGGCAAGGTTGAAAGGAGGGGACCGAGAAATTGCCCCGTGGGGGATTCATGCAGGCAAGAGGCCCAAGACCTTCACATGTGGCTCTAACATAAGACTGGAATTGGAATCCTGCTCTCTGTGTTTGCTTCCTAGCTCTCTGCAAAATGGCATCCTCAGGTGAATTTAAAGACAGAATCTCAAGTTTATATAGCTCGAAGTCTGCATCTCAGGAAGCTTGCTGACACACTAATTTCCCCTCTCTGGATTTTGGTAGCATTCATAACCCATCCTACGTAATCTAACATTTAATTGTATGCATTCTTTCACTTCTTGGGGATTATTTCTTATATTTTTGGCTTGCTTACAAATGGGTTTAAGTTTCTGAAGACAAGGACCTCTAAATGTCTTGGGTTGCCCTCAGACTTGGTGAAATATTATGAGGGCTGGCTAAGGGGTGGGGGGTTAATACATTCTTAAGTATTTTCAGAAAAACATTTGAGTATCATCAACAATTTAAAATATATTTTACATGAGATATTAACACTTTTATTCTAAGAAAACAGTGTCTATATTGGTCTACAAAGCATGCTATACAGTCTATGTTAGTCTTCTATTAAATTTATGATTTGGGGATTTATTATAAAATGTGCATTGTAGGAGGGTAACAATGTTAGCAGAACTAACTCACAGGTACTTGAAAATACTTGCATGAAATTCTAATCAGGTTGCTGATTATAATATTCATTATGATACTAGTGTAATTATTGGGTAGATTTCCCATTTATGTTACAGAAAGGGAGAATCCTTTTATTTTCTTAGTTTGTTCAACTTCCTACTGCTTTACAGTTGATGAAGGGAAACGCTTTCTCTGGAGAATTGTATCCCCACAAACTTCTACTTTGCTAATTTGTTCTCACTCACAAAACAAAAGCCATAAATGCTATTCACATTTCCCGATTTTTTAGGTGGAGTGGATTCCTCCTTTGTGCCATTGCAATGTTTCTTGTGATATTCCCAATGTTTACTTTTCCAAAAAAGCTTCCACCTCGACACAAGAAAAAAAAAAAGAAAAAATATTCTGTTGATGCTGTTAGCGATGACGACGTTATGAAGGAGAAGCCAAACAATAGCGAACAAGTGGACAAAAAAGTTTCTTCTATGGGATTTGGAAAGGATGTCAGAGGTAAAGTATATCTCTTGAATACACACGTGCATGGTGCTTTAGATCAGTGCTACTCAAAGTGTGGTCCCAGCCCAGAGCTGTCCACCGACTGTCTGTGGCTGCCCTGCGCAGGGGAAGTACGGAGATTGAGAGAAAGTGTGGCAAAAGTTTTTTAGAAATTTGACCGAGTAATTTTATGTCTATTGAATCTAACAGTAAAAAAAGTTGGGCTTATATTTTGTATGTTTAAAAAATTAATTTTTTTTTTTTTTTTTTGAGACAGAGTCTTGCTCTGTTGCCCAGGCTAGAGTGCAGTGGCGTCAGCCTAACTCACAGCAACCTCAAATTTCTGGGCTCAAGTGATCCTCCTGCCTCAGCCTCCCGAGTAGCTGGGACTACAGGCACGTGCCACCACACCCAGCTAATTTTTTCTATATATTTTTAGTTGTCCAGCTAATTTCTTTCTTATTTTAGTAGAGACGGGTTCTCTCTCTTGCTCAGGCTGGTCTCTAACTCCTGAGCTCAAATGATCCTCCCACCTCGGCCTCCCAGAGTGCTAGGATTACAGGCGTGAGCCACCACGCCCTGCCAAAAAATTAATTTTATAATAATTCATCATTCACGTATTTTGTCAAAGTATCAGTTGACGACAGACTGGAAATAATAATTTTTAAAAAATGGTCTTTCCTCACAGATGGTTTGAGAAGCACTGATTTAGATCATAAAGATATAGATGTTTGTATATATCATTTACTATAATTAGAGATGTCTGAATTTTAAGATACTGAATTGTGTAACAGATGGTTTGTTTCAGGGGAACAGTGGCTTTGGTAGTGTGGCCTGGTGTGTACATAAGTATAAAACCTACCACTGGAAAGGGATCTCATTCAACAGTAGCTCTGTCAAATGCTTGCTTGTGGCCATAGAGATGGGCGGCCAGGATACGGGCCTCCACACCTAATGTAAAAACATCCGGAAAGTTTCAGTGATGTACTCATCTATTTTTTCATTTTTATTTCTCTTAAAAATAATGATCATATTAAAACTGGATTAGGCAATCTAAATCCTAAGCAATTTGAATTGATCTTCACCACACAATATTTGTTCAGTATTGAGCGTATCTGTTGAACGGCAATAAGTCCTTTTAATTCCAGAAACCTATACTGTTACACTCCCCATTAGTTTCAGCTTTATTTCCTGAATTCTCTGAATTGGGTTTTTTTTTTTTTTGGTGTAAATTATGAAACGTAATATTTATCAAGTGCTTGTATCAGTCAAGGTTGTATTAGGGAAGATTTACTTAGGCACATTATTGTCTCATTTTGACTATATATGCAGGAAGGACAAAAAGGAACCTTTCAGGCCTAGAATAAAGTTACTAATATATTATAGGCTTGTTCCTACAGCCTAAGAATAATAATAGTTAGATTGGGCCATTTTTAAAGACTATATTTGTGAAAGCAAATGAAGTGACATTTCATTGAAAATGTTTCTTCCCAGTTAAGGTTCAGATTTGGCCCCCTCCCTCCCCATTATTTTGTGACAGTGTGCACTTGTGGAACTGCCAAAATGACTTCTTCTTTTTTTTTTTTTTTTGAGACCCACTTTTGTTGCCCAGGCTAGAGTGAGTGCCATGGCGTCAGCCTAGCTCACAGCAACCTCAAACTCCTGGGCTCAAGTGATCCTCCTGCCTCAGCCTCCCAAGTAGCTGGGACTAAGGCACGCACACATGCCTGGTAATTTTTTTTTGTATATTACTTTAGTTGTCCAATTAATTTCTTCTATTTTTAGTAGAGACGGGGTCTCGCTCAGCTGGTTTCAACTCCCGACTCAAGCAATCCGCCCACCTCGCCTCCAGAGGCTAGGATTACAGGCGTGAGCCACCGCGCCGGGCCCAAAATGACTTCTTATGCTCTAATAACATAAAGGATTCTGTGGCTGTAAGCATGGCCCAAACTCTGCCCGTGTTGGCCAGCCTGTCATTCTTCATGGATGTATTAGAGACCATTATAGCTGCTAGCAAAGGAGTGTTTTGTTTTGTTAATTTACAACTCAATTGAGACAAAGTTGAGGCAAAGAGTTTAAAACAAGAATCGACTTAGAATCTTAATTTATGGAGACTACAGGGATAGGTAAGATAAAGATATATATTTTTATAGCTCAGGTCGATGACTTGAATGTGAAAAATATATCCATTGGAGTGTAGGAAAAAGGGGGAGAAGATTGGTATTACACATGAACAGCACATACACCTGTTGATGGGAACGAAGTTCTTTTGGAGGATGCAGGGTAGGCAGTGCTATCAACCCCCAGCCACAATCTTGGACCTTAGCGGTGTCATGGCGGAGGTCCACAACTGCCAGGACCCGCATCAAGTGTCTGAAGATTTTCTTTGTTGTAGGCTGAGAAAACCGTTTGGCTCCTGCTTGAGGCGGTCTTCAATACCAAGGAATTAACACCCCAGCCTCCTGTCCCCCAAAGAAGTCTTAGCCAGATGACTGATAAACACCCCAGCTCCCTGCCTCTTGGCCAGGCGACCTGAGGCGTGTTCCTGTGTTCTCTTCCAGGGCATCTCGGCCCACCGCCCCCTGAACCTCCCAGTTAAATTACTTGGACTTGAATCTCTGTCTCGGGGCCTACTTCCGGGGGACCCGCACTTAGGCATGCAGGTTCAAAAGTGATAAAGTCATCACAAGATTTAAAAATCATTTTTGGAAATTGAATCTTTACACTATTTTAATGGCTATCTTCTCGTACTGCTAGGTATTGTTTTTCTCTGTTTTTTTCCCACCTTCAGCTTGATGGTTCAGGATAGTTTTTTTCTTTTAAAAACAAAAATAAGAGGACTCTTTGAACAATGATGGGAATTGGTTTATAAACTCTGTTTCTATTCTGATTTTCTTGGTAGTATTTCTGATAAATTCTTCTTTTTTCACCCTCTACCTTGTGGTAGACTGATCCTACTTCTGTAGTTAAATCTCCTGATTGGGACACAGAGCTGATTCATTTTGTTTCTTCTACTTGTACTGGATTCTTTAATTGTATCAAGACTGGAACTTTAAGAGGCACTTTGTCTTGTTAGGAAAAAAAAATACTGTTTTAATTGGATTATATTGAAAATGCTTTGCAAAAATGGTTCAAGTGATACTGATGATATTGGAATACTGTTCAATGAGGATATTTAAAATTAATTCATACTTATCTTGTATACATTGATTTCCTTTAGAGTATCATGATTTCCTTCAGAGTAACATACCATTTGCAGGAAGTGACTGTCTAATATGTTTCAAAAGGACAAAATAAATCTCTGGGAATCATTCTGCTAATGATATATTTGTATTTTTTTTTTTACAAAACTTAGATTCACTATTGAGGTCTTGCACTAAAGAATCGTTGCTAAGCTTTCATTTTGAGTTAAATCTGACTTTGAGGCCCAGATCCTCTTTTCCTTTCTGTTTTCTGGAGCAGGACCTCTTTTGATCTTTATTTTGTATTTGAAACTTGAACACCAACATTAGCTTCTTCAAAGAGGAGGTAGAAGTTGGTAACTTATACTTCCTTAAAAAGAAAACTATTCTGGCCATACAGAATGGAGCCCTTTGGGGAAGTTCTATTGCACAGAATGATAGAAGAAAATATACTGTACTTTCCATTCTCTGTCTCCACATTTTAATGACAGACATTGGGAATATCTGACTCAGTGTTTTCATATTCTTCTTATAAATTATGCAGGAATAGGGCTGATGTAAAACACCACAAAGGGGAAAGTAGGATTGTCAGTATGTCTGCACTGCATTCCACAAAGAGATTAGCATTGATTCCATCAAAATCTTACCAATAAAAATAAACACTTAAAATATTTAAGTGGATCAATTTTTCTGAGGTTTGAGGGTCTAGCATTTTAAAGCCTTCCAAATTTAACTGGGCATCTTCCTATCTATGAAACTTTTGGTGGCAGTTAACCAGAAGAAAAATTTTATTTTTGTGCCCATTTTTAATCTTTTAAGCTTAATTGCTTAGCATTATTAATTTAGCATAAAACGTAACAGATTTTTCTCTGCTAGAGTTTTCTCTGTGTTAGAGTGCAATATATTTATAATGCTAACTGCATAAAATAGTTATTCTGAGGGGACGAACTGGTTTAAGGAGACCATGGAAAGTTACAGAATTTTGTTTATTAGAGGATAACGTTGGCATCACTAAATTCACCGACCATTCCCTCTTACCGAGGGTGCTGTGCTCCATGCTGTGATACTGATGAAGATGGATGAGCCGTGGTTTGTCCTTAGTGAGCTTAGAGTCTGCTGAGGGTGAAAGAACAAGTGCAGATGGAAATATATTAAAGACCACAAGAAGAGAATAGACGCAGTGGTGTGGAGGAGGTTGCAAGGGTGGCGAGGGAACATCTAGTTGAGGGATCAGGGGAGGCTGCATGGAGGAGGTGAGATTTGAGATGAACTTTGAAAGACTGGGCGAATTTCAGCAGGTGGAGGTGGGTTGGTGGGCATACTCCAGGCAGAAGCTAGGCCTGTGCAGATGCTTTGGAAATGCTGAACACGTTTTTCTTGTGGCTGGTGTGTTGGATGTGTGTGGCAGAGACCTGGCAGATAGGTTGGGAAGGGAAGGTATGCTATATGGTGGCAAGTGGGAGTGCCAGCCTTTCACTGGAGTCCCTACTGGGCAGTGGGGAGTTTGGAGCAGGATTTGGCAGCACTCCAAGATGTAGATTTGGGAGAGAAAGGAGTGGACTGGAGGGAGGGAGCCCGGTTGGAAAGCTAGGGCCAGAGCCCAGGTGAGAGGTTTTGGCTAGTAGAGAAAGCAAGGACAGCAGCCTTCTGAACAGGTCCTCCTGCTTTGACCCTTGCTCCTTTTCAGCCTCCTTTCAACTCAGCACCAGAGGAACCCTATTGAAATGCCACTCCTCTCAGAAAAGTCCCCTCCCCTAGGACCTATGTGAACTAACCTCTGGTTACCTCTTTACCCCATCTGCTTCTTTCAGTCTTATTTGTTTATTCTGCATC